AGAACACTTACTGTGAGTCTGATTTTTCTTTTAACAGAGCTTGGAGAGGCAAGATTGAGATCAGGAGAAACAAAGGGATAGTGAAGCTTATATAGGGTTCAAAACCCTGGGTAGAATGCCAATGATTGGTTGAGGGAAAATGGGTACTTTTGCCTGCTTCTAAAATATCAGACAAAGCCTTGTGGTTCACCTTGTATCATGAACCATAGACTAAAAATGAATTTTGGCTAACTTTGGGGTCAACAATAGATTTTTCCAAAAATACTTTCTAGACAACCACTTAGTTTAGGCTTCTCGGATTTCTCCCAATTTCACTCAGATTGACTTTTGGTTTAAAAACTTGGTACGCAATGTACCCGAGAATTTAGGATTTTAGATTTAAAATAAGTCTCGGTGTTGAATTTATTTAAAAGTGGTTCAAAATATTTTATTCAAACACCGATTTTATCGCAAAAATTTTATAGAGTGAAAATTACTGTTTTGGAATTTCTTAAAACCGAATTTATAAAATTAAATTTTGGGTTGTCACAATACAGCTCATGTTCATCAACCATCATTATTATGATTTCACACTTAGGGGCTTCCACCAATATATTGAAATTTCAACATGGGAAATTTCAGAGAACATATCACAAAGTCTCAGAGTATGAGAAAAACATTTCAGAAATCATTTTTATAAAACTAGGGTTTGCAATAAACAGTCACTCAGTCTGTGCTTCCACCATAAATTCACATAACATATCACAAATACTCAGAGTATGAGAAAAACATTTCAGAAATCATTTTTATAAAACTAGGGTTTGCAATAAAACGTCACTCAGTCAGTGCTTCTACCATAAATTCACATAACATATCACTAATTCTCAGAGTATGAGAAAAACAATTCAGAAATCATTTTTATAAAACTAGGATTTGCAATAAAAAACAGTCACTCAGTTAGTACTTCCACTAGAAATTCACATAACATATCACAAATTCGCATAATATCATAATAACTTTAGGAAATCAAATTTAAAAAACTAGGGTTTGCCGATTTACTTTGTTTCTCACAGATACCCCAGAGAACAAAGGCTTCTTTGTACAGATATCACTAGTCGAAGTCGACGACAGCACCACTACACCAGTGACCAGTACGACTTCCACCAGACATGAGACCGAATACCAGACTACACAATGGGTGGTTGTGTGGAAGTGTGGAACTCAGAGAAGACAGAGAAGTAAAGACTCTAGAATATAGAGAACTCATAGTCTTAGAACCTTAGAGATTGAGAGTTGAGAGTTGAGTGAACTCATAATCGCGAAGGGAGAAGGGAGAAGGGAGAAGGAACCCTAGCAAATTAGCAATCAACTGCACAATTTGCAAATGAGGAGAGACCTGACGTTTTCAACCTTATCAACACACACACACACACACACACACACACACACACACACACACACACACACACACACACACACATATATATATATATATAGACCAAACGACGCCGTATAGAACTAAGTTATATGTAACCCTAGCTCTGTTCGGATATTCGGGCGGGTCGGATGCAATTTTATCCCCCCTTACCCGAACCCTATAAACCGATGTCATTTCAAATGGCGGTTCGGTTTTAAAAACTCGGGTTCGACTCGGATCGAGTGGATTGCTGCGGATTTCGGTTCGGCTGGGTTTTTCAGTGTTCTCGGTTTTTGCTCAGCCCTACTTCCAGTATACGAGTTGACAAATAGAATGAGGTGTCATTATAGTAAATGTAAGAATAGAGTACACATGTATGCTGATGATGTATGTGTTTGCTTGTATAAAAAGGAATTTGAATTGTATTATTGGATATGGATGTCTCGCAGTGAACCTATTCCCATAGTAAATGAACAATTTTTGGAGACACTCAACGATAACAATCAATATGAAATAATGGTGTTTGATGTAGGTGGTTCATTATTTATTTTATTTAATGTGGATAATAACCCAGAAAAAGAACCAATACAAGTGCACAAAACTTTTATGATTTATTAAACATTGCTAGTCAACCTTTGTCCCCTAATTGTGTTGACAAAAAAAAGTTGTCATAGGCGTTGAAGATGATAAATATAAAGATCAAACAACCTTTAACATTATGTAGCTAGCAATGGATCAAATATTTGAGTACAATAAGTATATAATGGGGTATAGATAATCGATTACCATCTAGGTATTACGATTAAGAGAAATTGATTTCAAAGTTCTCATGAAATGATTGATTGTTGTATTAATAGTTGAATGCTATACTATAAGTCTAATATCATTGAGAGGCATTGTAACTTGTATGGTGACCATTAGTTTAAACCATGATCACCTAAGTGGCATTATGAAAATCGTCACCAACTAGGTCTTATGTGTCATCCTTCTGATAGTGAAGCGTTGAAACACTTTTATAACTAGTATCTTGACTTTGTAGCAGATCCTTGAAATATCAAACTAGCTTTGTGTGTTGACGACTTTTTTCCATTTGGTTTAACTAACGCTAAATCATATTTTTGTTGGGTTGTTATGGTTGTTACATATAATCTTCCACATTCAATGTTTATAGCTCCCCCATATACATTCTTAACTTGTATTATTCCTGGAGAACACAACCCAAATGCTAATATTGATGTGCATCTACAACCTTTAATCGATGAGCTTAAGTTGTTATGGGAGATTGAGTTTTTTTTAGAGAAAAAATAATATCATATATTAGGCACTATCAACCAACAATACATCAAAAAGAGCAGGAAAAGGAACACCTAATCAGTACGACCAATGACATCTCTAGCAAGAAGATAAACTACAATGTTCACATGTAATTCTAGATCTTCTCTGTAGGCATTTTGAACATTGTTAGCCTCAATCCAAGCCTGTAAATAATAGTCAGCTTCATCCACACATTGAGTATAACTAACTACCCTTCTATTTTAGAGTTTCTCATTCCAATCAAACCAAATTTTCCAGCAAGTCATAATCAATCTACAGCAGCTAAGATCATAATGAACATTCACCCATTCGATAAAGGAGTTAAACCCCTGCATTCGATAAGGGAAATATATTGCTTTGAACAACCTAGAAACTAGAGAATTTGGAAACTGGATTAACCGCCAACCTTGTTTTCCCAACATGGATATATTAAATTCTCTAAGCCTTCTAAGTCCCATTCCACCCATTTTATTAGGAACACACAACTTTTCCACCTTATCCCTCTTCCCTCCCTACTCTCACAACCCCACCAGAAGGAGTTCATAGTCACCTCAATCTCGTTACACATCTCAATAGGTAGAAAGAAAACACTCATTGCATAAATGGGGATATCTTGCACTACATTCTTAAGTAGAACCTCCCTTCCCGCCATTAATAAAAACTTATTGTTCCAACTCCTAACTCTGCCCACCACTTTGTCCTTTATAAATCCCAAAATATCTTCTTTTTTTTTTTTTTTTTTTTTTTTTTTTTCTGCCAATGAGAGAAAGAAGCCCTAGATATTTCCCAATAGAAATCCCACATTGTACCCCAAATAAGTTACTCACATCCATATACATTCTTAAGTAGAAATCCCACAATTATCTTCATCACTTGCATTTTGACAGAACACATGGTATTGATGAAGCAATGTTAGCGATGATGGACTAGTGAGCAACTACTGCATTGGGAGCAGTGGTAGCGATGATGGCTAGTAAGTGGCTACTATGTTAGAGCAGTGGTATAATGATTTCAATGAATAACGTACAAAAGCATATTGTAGCTGGCTCAAATTGTGAAGGTAAATAAAAGGAGAATAAGTCAAAGTTATCATTAATAGATGTCATTATAAATGTATATGTGTGTATGTATATATGATATCTTATTTGGGCATTGCACAATGACTAAACTACTATATAAATACGGATACAGAGTTGCTAGTAATATATAAGTTTCTACTTATCTATTTACAATATAATTATATTTATTGATTACTCTATCTTATGTGAGCAGGTCCACGCTAAATTTCTTTGGCCATAACCCCCCTATGAGGGTTGGCATGCCACATGAGTTAACTTCAAAAACTTTTTTTTTTTAAAGAAACTTTTTTAAAATAAAAAATATTTATATTAAATTATATACTATATTTTAATATATAATTAGAAAAAACATTTAAATTTTAATTTATATATACTATGATTTGATAAAAAATGATGTTTTAATCACAATCACAACTTGTATTAATTTTTTTATATTAAAATATTAAGTTATATTTATATTATATACATTACAATGAACAACAATGTGTAATATGATTTTTAAAAGTATAAATCCTTTAGAAATATTTGAATGTAGTAATGAGTTACATTTTTTTTTTTGATTTTTAAAAGAATTTTAAAATTATAATTTTTTAAAAAATATTAGCTAACTTATAGGTTGACCTGCGGCCTAACTTGCGAAACATACAAGCTCGCGCAAGTTGAGGTCTCTTGTTTGCAGGCCAACGGAGGTTGAAACCTGCGGCGAAGGATACACAGTAAATCCAAGCTTGGAATTCTTGTCGTAATCCACCAACAAGCGTTCAAGCAAAAGGGAACCCAGAACCGACCTAATGCCGACACCCACCGCATCTGACCATCAACGTGCACTTTAAATCAGGAAGAAGAAAACAATATGTGGAAATGACCCTTTTACCCCTTTCACTAACGCCTATTTAACGGTTGGTTCACAGAAGGACCAATTGTGGAACAAATGTGATAGTCAATGGCCTATTTCGTCCAAATTAAAAGACAAGGACCAATTTTGAAAAATTACAATAGTCGGAAGACTATGACTGAAATTAACTCGTTACCAATACATCACACCAATAAATGAAAGCTACATCATAGAGAGAAAATTTAAGAGGGGAATAAAGTATTTTCCTATCAAAAATTTCAAGTAGTAATTTGATATAACACAAAAATAAATAAAAAGCAGAATTTATTCGAAACTTTTTGGTGCAGAAGAATAACATTCGTAGTAGGAAATTACTAGATTTTATAGACAGGAAAGAAACCCTAACATATATTCCTTATCTCTGCTCTAACTTCCACATCCTCACTTCTTTCTCCTGCTCTAGACATTCTCAGGTAACCCCTCTCTCTCTCTACAGATGGATGCATTTCTTATCTTCATCTCACAATCTTTCCGTCTTATTTTTCCTCTGGCAAGCAAATACTTTACGCCGATGTAATGCATTGATTTTGCCGTATTTTCTTTTTTGAAGCTTGGGGTTTCTTCTGATGGTTTTATTCCATATGCTTTTACAGTAAAATCTACTTGTTAGAGTGTATGCTGATTCTTCTATTTATTTATTTATTTTTATTTTTTGGAATTTGTTTTTGCAAAACAGATTTAATTGTATTAGACATGGTTGGTTGTTGGGAGAGAACCCTTAAGCGATTTTGAATTAAGGGTAATTTTCTTATTAGTTGAAAATTCATTAGTCTCTCTAGTTATGACTTTGGCATATTGAAACCTATACACAGGATAGGGCTGTAATGCTCATGATTGACCTTGGGATTTGTGGTATTGGTTTGTGATTTTTTAAAAGAGTTTTTTTTTTTTTCTTTTTTCTTTTTTAATAAATTTTGGGCTGCCATTTAAAGTCAATTGATTGATGTAGTAACTGGCATGTTTAAATATTGTGTGCAAATTATGCGGATGTTTGTTTCAGGCATAGTAGTTTCCCTTGACTAAATGTTAATTTTACTGTTCAAATTTTTATTATTATTGCAATAAAAAAAATTACTGAATAGGTTTTATCGGTCTAATTGTAAGTTTGTAACTGTTGCCTATACTGGTAGTGCTTGCAGATACAGAAATGGGAAGGACGAAGCCACTGGTGTTCTTGGATGTATGTATTGATGGTTATCCACAGAGAAGAATGATTTTTGAGGTATTTCAGATTTTCAGTAATCAGTACTGAATGGCAAAGTTTTTTATCTCTTGTATTATATCCAAACTTCATACCAGTAAGACAAGTGTACATCTGACATACTGTTCATTGTTGCAGCTTTTCACTGATGTTGCTCCAAAAACTGCAGAAAATTTTCGTGCACTTTGTACAGGTCTCATATCTCTGCATATATTGATAGTGCTAGTTGTTTCTATCTTTTCACATGGATTTGTTTTATGCAGTTGTACCTAATAACTTCTGCATTCTTTGTTATCTAATTCTCTATATCTTCCCATTCTATCTGTACATTTGCATGTACCCTTCTGGCAAGGCTTATGATTATGGTTTGTGAATAATTTGTAATCCTCCCCATGTTATTTTTGGATTATTGGATTAGATAAGCTAAGTGCTTTATCATCTATGATAATTAGCTTGTAAACACATAAAAAGTTGATTATTTAATCTATAATTTCACTAACCTAATTAAATTAGCTTTGCCAAACCCCTATTTGTGCTGAATCTGCTGATTTATTACTCCATATAAATTTACTTTTCTCTATTATTTGTTTTTGGTTAGTATGCATATTTAGGCCATAGATGATATTAATTAAATCTTTATAGGGTGAATCAACGATTTGGTCCCTCACTTATTCGCGACTTGTCAATGTTGCCCCTGAATCACGTATTCATCGATTTAGTCCCCGAAAATAATTGTTTTTCGTCAAATCAGTCCCTATGGCCGTATTCCGTCAAGTCTCAGGCGAGAGCTCCGATTTGCCCTGGGCATTTTGGTCTTTTCACGCCTTCTTCTTCATTCCATCGTCGCCGAAGTCAGCTTCACCTCCGATGATGAGTTGTTGACCCCAAACGTCACTCTCCGGCGAGTCATCCAGTCGTGGTGCCGGTTTGCTGCTTCGCCGGGAGGGATCAACTGCCAGGGACCTACCACTGCCGTCTCTGCCTCGCCGGGAAAAGGGGAGGTCGCCGCCGCCATCTCTTGAGCAAGGGTCGCCGGAAAAACAAAGCTAAGCTTGCCACGCCGCCGCCGATCTATTTGCTTCGCTGGAAAAGAAAGAGGGGCGGAGGTCGCTGCTCCGATCTGCTGCCTCCGCCTCTTCGTGATTTCACCAGAGAGAGGGAGGGGAGATGTAGGTCCATGGACCTTGTCTCGCCGTCGGATGTTGTTGAAGCCGTACGTGAGTTAGCCGAGAGAAGAAGGGAGAGACGAGAGGTAGATAGGGATTTGTTTGGTTGTTGCTCAGCTTTTACCGAGAGAGAAGAGAGACGGAGCTAGCCGCCGCCTGTCGCCGCGATCTGCCGGGGGATCGCCGGCGCTCGTCGTCGGAGGAGAGGAACGAGAGAGAGAGCTAAGATGGAGAGATACGGCAAAAAAGGGTTGTTTGCTGAGATTCTCAAATTGCATGCTAAGGAATGGAAGAATTCTCCTTGTTTACCATTGGATTTGATTCATAACACCATGGGTGTTAATTAGGCAAGCCATCGGAGGTGCAGCTGACGTCGGCGGAAGAGATGGAGCTCCCTCCGGCGAGCTTGAGCTTCTCCAGCGAAGTTTGGTCAGAGTTAATGAAGAAGAAGGCCTGAAAAGACCAAAATGCCCAGGGCAAATCGGAGCTCTCGCCTGAGACTTGACGGAATACGGCCATAGGGACTGATTTGACGAAAAACAATTATTTTCGGGGACTAAATCGATGAATACGTGATTCAGGGGCAACATTGACAAGTCGCGAATAAGTGGGGGACCAAATCGTTGATTCACCCATCTTTATATCTTGTATACTTAATCTACTCTTTATTTACCTTCACTGTGGATTTGCTCCTGTTCTCCCACAATTAGAAGTCCACTTCTGATCTATGAAGATGTTTATGATACGCACCCAAAATAAGAGATGGTTTACTCAGAAAAAAAAGGAAGGATGCAAATCAGGCAAATCAGAATATACAAGGAAGGCTTAACTCAAGGGATTTGACTAAAATAAATAGAGGCATAATCATCTCAACAATCATCTCCTTTCTATAATTATTTATTTCCTAGCACTCTAAATTAGAATCTCTAGATGAGAGTAAATCATCCAATAATCTTCCTTAGTCTTTAAGCTTTAGTAGCTAGGCAAGAGCCTAAAACTCTTGTGGGGCAAGAGCCTAAAACTCTTGTTGGGGAAAGTCTTGTGACTTCCTGTTTCTTTTCTTTATTTTCTAGTCAATAAAAATACCTCCTGGTTCTTTTCTCTAACAAATTGGTCCGACCTGCCGTTGGATGGCGAACACACGAGATTCCCGCATAGAGACGTTAGAGAAGAACCAAGATGCAATTCGTACTGAATTGACCACATTGAACGATCGATTTGCAGCTTTGGAAGCTTCTGTGGCTAGGATGTCTGATCTCCTCCCTCTCTCCTTCCAAGGCGGAGGGCACAACAATGCCAGTGCTTCATCAACTTCCATCCCAACACCGAATTCAACCTCTCTCCCAGAACATGTTCAGCCGGACAACACCTCGCTCTACCCATTGGAAAAACAGAACTCCCTACATTTGAAGGCACCGATCCAATTGGGTGGTTAGCTAGAGTGGAGCAGTACTTTGCCATTCATCACACTCGAGAGGATTTGAAGGTCCCAACAGCTTTCGTTAGTATGGAGGGGGCAGCTCTACATTGGTTCCGATGGTTACAACAACAACCCACTCTTACTTGGACTCAATTCACACATGACCTTTTGGAAGAATTTGGCGACGAATTGCCTGGGCCACCGTTTGAACAGCTTGCCGCTCTTCGTCAAACAGGCTTGGTGGATGAATTCATCGCTGCGTTTCGAGCTCGCATTGCCCAAATTCCTGGACTTGCTCCTCACATTCAATTAGGGCTTTTTCTCAATGGCTTGAAACCTGCAATTCGGGTGCGGCTCCGACCGAATGATGTGACAGATCTCCGAACAGCGATGCGTGTCGCTCGGGCGGCAGAACGAGAAATTGAATTTCTCTCCACAGGCCGGCTCCTTGGACGCAATCTGCAAGAAGAAAATGCAGCACTCCAGATAATTCCTTCACATAGTGGGTCTACTTGGTCTAATGGGCATGGGAAGAATTACCAAACCAATTCTTTTTTGAATTATTCACAGCCCAAACCCATTCCAACCCAGTCTCAATTCTCTGGCAGCAATCACACATCTTCCTTCTCCTCCCAAACACAACCTGCGTTTCCTGCTATGCAGTCTTCAGTACGCAATTCCAGCACATCAACATCACGAGCTCCGGCACGACATTATTCTAACAAAGAGTATCTGGACATGCGCGCCAAAGGACTTTGTTTCCGTTGTCAGCAACCGTACAGTCCGCTTCATGTATGCCCGAATAAATCCTTGCAAACTCTAATTGCAGCAGAGGATGACGAGGACGAAACGAGCGACGAGCCTGGTGTAACTGACCAAATCGACACCGGACAATATAGGGCAGTCTTTCCAATCTAGCCTTGGGGACAAGGCTGTTTCTTTGGTGGGTGGCAATGATACGCACCCAAAATAAGAGATGGTTTACTCAGAAAAAAAAGGAAGGATGCAAATCAGGCAAATCAGAATATACAAGGAAGGCTTAACTCAAGGGATTTGACTAAAATAAATAGAGGCATAATCATCTCAACAATCATCTCCTTTCTATAATTATTTATTTCCTAGCACTCTAAATTAGAATCTCTAGATGAGAGTAAATCATCCAATAATCTTCCTTAGTATTTAAGCTTTAGTAGCTAGGCAAGAGCCTAAAACTCTTGTTGGGGAAAGTCTTGTGACTTCCTGTTTCTTTTCTTTATTTTCTAGTCAATAAAAATACCTCCTGGTTCTTTTCTCTAACAGTTTATTTACAGGGGAAAAAGGAATCAGTGATAGAACTGGCAAACCTTTACACTACAAAGGAACCCTTTTCCACCGAATTGTCAAGGGGTCCATGGCTCAGGTATGTATTTTGCTCAGTCGTGCATCAGCTCTTATCTATAAGAATTTGAATGCATTCCAGTTGGATGAGTCTTGGTTTCTAGTTTAACATCACTTAGAAATGGCCATTTCCTTTTAGTCAGCTATCCTTGTTTATGCTGTAGGATGCAGGGCTGATGGTCACAACTGCTTTTCTTGTGATATAGTTTTTAAGGTTGTACTTACTGCATTGTACATCCTCAAAATTGATGAATTATGGCATACACAAAGCTTGTTTTATATGTAGGTTTTGCTTTATGTTGCTGCTAACACACTCTTTCTCCCTTTTCTTCCCTACAGGCTGGAGACTTTCTCAGGCAAGATGGTAAGTCTTCTTTGTCAATCAAGTTGTGTTAATGTTGCTAGTGTAAGGACAGAAGCAAGTCTTGTTTAGGTAGAAATGGGATGCTTGATTGTGAAATAACATATTGTCTTCAATTTTTATGGGGTTAGTCCCCGATTTAGTTCTTGACTATGATGGTGTTTTTCAATTTAATCCTTAGCCATTTAGTAACAGGAAATCTATTGAGAGATACTAATTTACCTTTTAGCCATCATATTGTATGGAAATGAGGGGGAATTAGTAATGAAAGACTAAAATGGGCACAACCAAGGTTTGAAAAGGCGGTTTTGAGGCATGCCTCAGACTGAGATGGTGCCATTATTCTCAGGGGCGTAATCCGTTGTCTCAAAAGTATGGGCGTACACCCTGTGCAGTAAGGGCGCATGCCCTGTGTGCACCTTACAGCTTTTTTGAGGTGTTTCCTAGGTTTTGGGTTGAAAATAGCAGGCCTTTTTTTTTTTTTTTTTTTTTTTTTTTTAATATATATAAATTCAATAGATTTGACCCATAAAATCTAAACCCTAATAATGGTAAAAGAAGGAAAAAGAAATCAGAAAGAAGAAAATCAACCTAGAACGTTTTTGCAACCTTAGACCTTTGCTTGGAACTTTGCAACCCAGACCTATTGCAAACGTCTGGCGATATTTTAAACTTTGTGTTGGCTTGAAGGGAAAATATTGGAGGGGAAGAAAGCATTTTCCTCTATATATATTATATATATACACTATTTAATTTAGTAATATTACCTCTCCAATAGAAAATGACTCGAAACCCATTTAAGCCTTTTGATGGCAAAATTAGGTCAAATTATTATTTGAGGACTAAATTAGGAAATGCCACCATAGTCTAATACTAAATTGAGAATTAACTCATTTTTATGCTATTTATGAGTTTTGATTTTTATTTTAATTGGTGAGTCTCTTTGTGGTCACTTGTCTTGTTGAGCAATGCAATAAGCTATTTCATGGTAAAATGAAAGTGTCTTTCTTGACAAGTGTCACCTCAAGAGGTCTTGTATTAATAAATGAAAATTTCTAGCTATAGTCTATTTGAAACTTAAGAATGCCTTTTGATTGATTTGTTTATTTATTTGCTTGATTGAGCATTTTAGTAAATTAAATTTGCTTTACTGATTTACAGGGAATCATGGAGAAAGTATATATGGCACAAAGTTCCCAGGTGAGAATTGTTTTTCATCTTTGTTGTCAGTTATGCTGTAATTGTTGCATTCTACATGATAATCATCTGATACACACATTCTGTAGAGGTGCCATTAGAATATTACTGCTTATCTTGAACTTGGCAAAAAATGAATGATTTATTAATGCTACTAGCTGTGTTTATTTGATTAATAAATAGTTATATGCTTATTTTAGCTAGAAATCAATTCCTTTTGAAAGCAAATGGATTTCCTTTTTGCATTGACTATGAAGGTTGTGGCTGATTTGATCTTATTCTCAAGCATGGGAGCTTCAATACAATGGTATTTGGTGTTTTTTTCCTGTTTTATAATGATAGGTTATATAATTTGTGTATATATCGCTTTTATTATTTTATTACTCCATATTATATATTATTTTCGAATAGAAACTCATGAGTTCCATGTATGGTTACAGTTTCCTCCTGTTTCTTTTGAGTTTTATTCTTGTTTGTCAAATGCTCCATGTGGTGTTTGTGCTTATAATTGTTACATTTACTATTCTGTTGCAGGAAGAAACTGGCAGTTGTCTCTTGATTAATTGCCCTCCCATTCTCTTTGTTTTGAAAGTTATTTCTAGATTCTTCTCAAAGCACCCTATTACAAATCAACCATTTGAATTTCCAAATAATTAACAGGTGAAAGTTGTAACACTTTTTCAGATGAGCCACCAAAGCTGAAACATGATGCCCCTGGTCTCCTGTCTATGGCAATTGCTGACCGTGATACACGTGGTTCTCTATTCACACTCACCTTCGGTGCTAATCATAATCTTGACAGGTTTGCCGTTTGCCTGTGAAGTGGCAGTATTCCTGAGTGCTATTTGAATTTTGAAGACCCTCATTGTTACGTAATGCCTTACAAATTTAATGGCTTGTCTTATGCCATGTTACACTGCAGGAAATATGTTGTATTTGGCAAGCTTCTAAAAGGCCATGATGTGCTTAAGAAGATTGAAAATGTTGGAAATGAAGAAGGGAAACCTGATGTGATGGTCAAGATAATAGATTCTGGTGAATTCCCCAAGGGTGAGTTTGTGTCAGTAATTATATTTGCTTGCCTATCATTCTGTTCTGAACTGAGAAACTATAAATCCAAATATCCAATTGTTCATTTGTACTTGCAATTCCATTTGGTCAATGTTTCATTAGTTTTTTTGTGTTTCGCTATGTAGCATTAATTTTTTATTTTGTTTATTTTTTTTTCCTCATGTGCATGCAGATGTAAGGAACCTAAATAAATTGAAGTTGGGGAAGGTTGCTTCTACCCTCAACAATCATGAAACCTACCGTAAAAGAAAACAGAAAAAATCTTACCAGGATCGAAGAAAAAAAAAGGTGCGGTATACATCAGAATCGGATAGTTCTACTGATAGTGAGACGGAGTCTTCAGAATCAGATAGCTCTACAGATGCTGGTGATCTCTCTTACACATCTACTTCCACTTCAACCGAAACCAGCTCATCAGGTGATGACAGGCGAAGGAAAAGGAAGAGATCTAAGAGAGATAAGCATAAACATGGAAAAAGAAGGGATCATCGCAGTGAAAAAAGCCGCAGGAGGCGCGATAAGAAACAAAGGCGGAGATCAAGAAGGTATTATTTAATGATTTAGTTTCCTATGTCTATTATGTATGTTATATTATTGCGTTAGTGGCTGCTCTCTCCAGTAACCTAATAATCTGCTGCACCCATTTTCAGTTATGTCCTTCAGTTTTGAAAACTGCATTTTGCTCAAGATCCCTTTTATTGGGGTATCTTCAACATGAATAAGCTATAATCCATTGCCATCATTGAAAATATTATTGCCTTTCCTATGCCTCTTATTTAGGCACCAAATCTGTTTTTAGTCTTGGTGTTTTTATATGTAGTGTACATTTCAATACATCATTAGTTAACAGTCTCTTCCTGCCCAAATTTGATGTTGATGCTGGCTTTGGTCAATATGTGTTGGCTTTCAAAACTTTCTGCTTAATGCATACCTTCTGGGGACATATTGTGATGCCAATGTTTTTTATGTTATTTTATTTTATTATTTTTGTTTTTTAATATAACTATATAAATTCTAAAATGCTGTATATATTGCATAACTTAAGCTGATTGTTTCTGGTTCTCTTTTCATGTTGTGGTTTGGTATTATCCAAGAAGTTTAACTTTTATATGCTTGTGTTTCTTTCTCTTGTTTATTTCAGATCATCAGAAAGCCTTTCTGATAGTGAGACTGAAAATAGTTCTGAAAACGATGATGGAGTTAAAGGATTGGATGGGAGGAATAAAATCCCAGGAAAGAAATTGGGTATTTAACATTTTCTCCTTAAACTTTAACACGTTTACATTTTTGGCTGACAATTATATATTTTCCATAAAATGTCTGCGCCAGTTAATGATATTTAGAATCTACTGGATCTGTGAATTGGCTTATTTGGTTTTGGATCAATCTTGGCATCTTGCACACTAGATTACATCAAGGTGTCAAACAAGACTAAAATAAACCAAATTAAATCTGAAGGTCACTGTAGAAATTATATTAGAAGGATGGAAGCATATTTTTGTGATTCCAATGAGATCTCCATTCTTCTTTGTTTTGGTAAAATAAATGAAATGAGACATTTTTTTTTTTTTTTTTTAAAGAACCAAGAACTTCATTCCACATCACAAGGGCAAAAAGCCTTACAAGAGACGCCATAGGTCCAAAGACCTATGGTTAAAGATTACAAGAGGCAAAAGCCTTACAAAACAAGGATCAAAGATGGCCTAAATGATAAAGGGCCAAATGGCCTACAAAACCACAAGGCTAAAGAGCCTAAATCTACAAAGGTCCACCCTTCTAGGTGAACCCTCCTTCAGCATGGTTCAGCATTCAAATCTGCCACCTTCTTCTTTGTTCCAGATCAGACTCCCACCAATTCAACTTGCATTCAAATGAGACTGATTTAATACTTAATATTAGTGATTTAGGTATGATAACTAGAATCTGAAAGAATAGTTTTAGACTTTTAGAAGTACTTGTAAAACAGAACAAATTTGAATAGTGGCGCTAATTATTTCGGCAGAAATTAGAATATCAGAAACTTCAATGCAAATGCATATTTGATTGGGTAAAACACCTATGGTATTTAAACAGAGGTACACATCCTATTTCACAAAAAAATTCCATCAACTGAATCATTGGACACAGTTATTGGATGTTGTTTTAAATTCCAAATTTCCAATAACGTGGTCTTCATTGATGTTATTGACTGTAAATTAACATTGATCATGCTAAAGATAAATGTCTTATACTTCTAATTTTCTGTTATTCCTTCCAATTTTTTATTACCTGATTTCTAGGACTATTTTGCATATATAATAATATACCTTGGATATGAATGTTGCTCTTTAGTTTTCACAACTTTTGCTCGTTTAGTTACCTATTCTTGGATATCTTGATGATGTAATTGCATTGCTAATCTTCTGCAGATGGAAATCAATCTCTTGTTGAGGATCGGGAAGCTGTTTCTGTTCATAAGAAGGGAGATTCCAGTGACATCTTTGAGAGGGAAGAAGGTGATATCCTCAAGGAAAACGGTGGGCATAAAAATAATGATCAGAGTCATCAGGATAGACAACCTGATGTGGTGGATGATCATCCAGCGAAATCTAGGTTTGCTTCCATTTCTTCTTGCACACATTCTTTTTCTTTTGGTTACAAATCCTCCCAGAATGGCCATTATATTGGAAGTTGATAAACAGGAGTCGAAGCCCTAGTCCTAGAAGATCTATGAGTAAAAGCATGAGCATAAGTCCCAGGAGTTTAAACAGAGACCCAAGTGTTGGCCCAAAACACAGTGTGAGGAGTACGAGTGCTGGCCCAAAACGGAGTCCAAGCAGGAGTGCAAGTATCAACGAAAGCCCACATCGCGTCCCCGAGAAGAGTACTGGCCGAGTGAGAAGTGGAAGCAGCAAGAGTCCAGCTAGAAGTATTAGTCAAAGTCCAGTTAGAGGCAGAAGTGTAAGTGGGAGTCCAGTCAGAGCCAACTCTCGAAGAGGCAGAACCAGAAGTCCTTCAGCCTCGCCTCCTAGAAGTATCCGCAGCCCACCTAGAATCTCTTCAAGGAAATCTTGGAAGTCGGCAAGTCGAAGTCCAGTTAGGTCTTCTCAGAGGAGCGTGAGCAGAAGCCCTGTTAGGCCTTCTCGGAGGAGTGCTAGCAGAAGCCCTGTTAGGCCATCTCGGAAAAGTGTGAGCAGAAGTCCTGTTAGATCTGATCGGAGGAGTTTTAGCAGAAGTCCTGTTAGGTCTGCTCGAAGGAGTATTAGTAGAAGCTCAGGTAGGGCTCCTTCTAGAAGTCCTCATCCAAGTCTAGGTAGGGGTCCTAGTAGGAATAATCGCCGAAGCTACTCAAGGAGTCCTGTAAGTGCCGGTCGCAGGGGAAGGTCACCAATCTCTGATCATGGTAGGAGCTCTTCTAGAAGTCCTGTTGGTGGATCTCCCAAACGCATAAGAAGGGGGAGAGGCTTCAGTGAGCGGTACTCTTATGCACGTAGATACAGGAGTCGTTCTCCTGATCGATCTCCAGTGAGGTCATACCGCTATAATCGCAGTGACCGTGATAGGTAAAAATGAGGCTTTTAATTACGAACTTCTTGACTAGAAGATGAATTTGTTAATGTTCTGATTATATTTTTCCTACCTCCAATTCTGCCTTCATAGATATTCAAGTTACAGACGGTCCCCCAGGCGCTACAGGAGTCCACCAAGAGGAAGAACTCCTCCTAGGTTTGTATGATATTTTGGATTTCATATTTTTGTCTACACATTTCTATTATTGCCAACCTTTTTATACAAATCATCAGTCACATCATATATATATATATATATATATATATATATATATATATATATATATATATATATATATATATAATATTCATCGTATCAAGGAACACTTGCAGATACAGAAGCAGAAGAAGCAGGTCTCACAGTGTATCACGCAGTCCAATACGCTACCGGTCTCGCCGTGATAGCAGGAATCCTATTCGTAGTCCATCTCCTGTGGAAAGGTATCGTGCATCGCCACGAGCCGAGAGGCAGAGGTTGCCCTCTCAAAGCAGGAGCAGGAGCAGGAGCAGGAGCCCATCAGAGTCAAGGTCACCTAATGGATCACAATCTCCAAGGTTGAGGAACAAGGAGAAGTCAATATCGCCATCCCGGAGCCCCCCTGCAAAGGGCGGCTTGGTTTCTTATGGAGACGTGTCTGCTGATTCAGATTGATATGAACGAAAATTGAGGGTTGGCACCTCATCAAATGTGTAGACAGTCTAGTCGTGTTTCTCGGTTGGTTCATATTACCTGGTATCTTCTGTGAGTTGGGATTTTATTCAACATTTTGTTCACTGGCCTTTCTTGGAGATTTCTGTCTGCGTGGTGTTAGATTATTGTAGTAAAATGCTATGGCATTGAGACACTTGCATTGGTGATATGAGAAATCTTAACCTCTGTTTTATTTTTTATTTTTATTTTTATTAAAAATTATTCTGAGAATTATAGCAAAAGTTGAGTTCTGATGTTTAATCGTGCCTGTGCTATTGCAATATGTGCTTTGTTTTTGCAGAACTGCTAATAAAACATCATAACAAAATTTAATATTACCTCTTGATTATGGTTATTGTATCATAACAAAATTTGACAAGGCTTACTAGCTATTGGAGTTGAGTATTAACTATTAAGAAGTTGACATTTTGCTCAACGCATTATTTGGGCAAATTATGCCCTGGACCCGTGTCCACATTGAATTGTGGACACGGGCCCAAAACGACGTCGTTTTTTAAAAAAAACGCGTCATTTAGTTAAAAAAAAAAAATTCGCGCGCGTTTTGCCGTTAACGGCGTTATTTTTTTTTGATTATGAATGTACAGTTATGCCGTTATGAATGTACAGTTATGCCGTTATGAATATACAGTTATACAATTATGAAATTATGAACACAGAGCTCTAACATTATGAACTTATAATTATGAACATATATAGTGATAAAATTATGACCATGGAGCTTTAAAATTGTGAATATAGAGCTTCGAAGATTATGAATGTACAGTTATGGAGTTATGAATGTACAGTTATAGAGTTATGAATCTACAGTTATGGAGTTATGAATCTACAGTTATGAGATTATGAATCTACAGTATGGAATTATGAATGTACAGTTATTGATCGAATTATGAACAAAGAGCTCTAACATTATGAACTTACAATTATGAACATATAGTGATAAAATTATGAACATAGAGCTCTAAAATTGTGAACATAGAGCTTCGAAAATTATGAATGTACAATTATGGAGTTATTAATATACAGTTATGGAGTTACGAATGTACAGTTATGGAGTTATGAATGTACAGTTATAGAGTTATGAACGTACAGTTATGAAGTTATGAATGTATAGTTATTAACATATAGTAATAAAATTATGAACATATACTATTACAATGAAACGATCTGAAATTTAAAAAAAAAAAAAAAAAAAAAAAAAAAAAGATAACAGTGCCTAACGGCACTGTTACCCGTGTCCAGCAAGCATGCTGGACACGGGCTTGCTGGACACGGGTCCAACGCATAACGATTGCATTATTTGAACTTGGGCTCGGTTTGATGATAATCAAATTGATTTAAATATTTATTTAATTAAACTTGAGTAATACATCAGGGTAATTTTTTTTTTTTAATTTATTATAAGGGAAAGGGCTACTCACATATACAAGTTATTACATAAAATGCCACTATAATCGCCTCCACCGAGGCGACGAACTCACCACCTTTCATATAAGGGAGCAATTTGGTACCAGTGGACCATAATAACAACACCGAGTAGCTTGCATCTCAATAACATCTATGTGGCTCTCCCAAATAGGAGGTCATATGTTTGAACTTCAATGTGTGTATTGACTCTTTTGTGCTTCAATAGGCTGAAAAAATATGTATGCATAGATACTACATTGTAAGCAGTACTCAAAATGACCGGTGGGTCGATTGTTTGACTTGCGGTTCTAGGGGTAGGGTGACAAATTATTGTATGGACCGTGGTCCTGTACGCCGTCGTTTAGAATAATGTACTTTATATGTGTTAGAATAACGACGTCGTTTAGAATAATGTACTTTATATGCGTTAGAATAACGAAATTTCTAGGGTAAGATAATGTATTTTATGAGTTAGAATAATGTACTTTATGTGTTAGAATAATGTATTTTATGAGTTATAATAATGTATAATGTATAATGTACTTTGTGTTAAGAATAATGAAATTTCTGGGGTAAGATAATGTATTTTATGAGTTAGAATAATGTACTTTATGTGTTTTTGAACCGTGGTCTGTGTGAACCACGGCTCACACAATAATGATTGGGGTCAGGGTTATGTGGGCTTAGGATTAATCTAATGAAACTGGTATTATTAGGACTCTATGTATTTGAGTTAGATTATGACTCCCTATCCTAGTCTCACTGTGATTCTCTCTTGTATATATTCCTATAGTTTGTACCTATTATAATCAACTCATTCAATACAATTGATACAGTTCTCATCTGGTATTAGCTAGCTAGGGTTTCTTTCTCATGGCTGACAGTTCTGTTGATTCCTCTGAACGGACCGTCTCTAATGTTGCTATCTCTTCGGTCTCCTCGACCGTAAATTCTTTGTCCACTGCCCACCACTTCATCAGTATTAAACTGACTCACAAGAATTTCTTCTCTTGGAAAACTCAAGTTGTTCTCTTTCTTCATGGGCATGATCTAATGGTTTTCATTGATGGTACAAACCCTTGCCCGTCGGCTTTGCTTCCCTTCGGCGACGACAGCACACCACTGCATCCAACCCTACTCAGGCCATCTAGGTTTGGCAAGACCAAGCTCTCCTTTCCATGCTTGTGTCTCCTCTCTCCGACTAAGTCATGCTGTTGGCAGTTGGACGTCGGACAAGCCTGTAACACTCCCCAAATTCACTCTTCCGAGCCTAGGTTATTTCAATACTTAATAAAAGGGATAAAAGTAAAGATAGATAAAAGGATCATTCATTTCTAACTGATTGGGGATGCTATTGCCGCAACCATCCATACTTAGATAGCTGCCCAGCTAAACTACTAAGATACCCACTTCCACAAACTAATCAATAAAGATAAGGCAGACCCAAACATCTACTCATTAGACAACCCACAACTCAACAAAATGTTAACTTAGAATTCCATAGCCATTCTACTACACAAAGCAATTTAAAAAGTTAACTTCAATAATATCTATTCAAGTCTACAATCAAAAGACTTAAAGATCATATCATTAATAAAATACTTCCAAACTCAAAGGTCACTAACTTGGGTTAAATTAAAGAAAGAAAACTAATAAGTCGAAAACCTGTAATCGTACTCTCGTCATGCATTAAGCTAGACTTGAAAGGGATTATCAAGAAAACAAGGAAAAATAATCCTTTAGCATAAAATGCTAAGTATAACTCACTCAACCTTGTAAAATAATACTACGTATAAGTTTGAAAAATAGTAGTTTTGACATTTACACATATCAACACACGTAGGATCAAAGATGATCACGCAAGTATAGATATAGATAGGGTCACATATTTACATATCTAAATATATATAGCAAAGATATAACTCAACTCACACTCATCTTAGACACATGGGCGGATTTTAGGTTGTGCAAGCTGGGCTACCGCACATGGCCCCCAATTTTAGAGGGGCCCCAAATTTTAGAGGCCCAATATATAATTTTTACCTAACTAGTTTAGAAATAAAAACTAAAAGTTTTCAATTAAATTTAAAAGGTTTCATGAATAGATGGTAGAAATTTGTATTTATTGTATTTTAACTTGGAGGTTAAAGGTTTGAAACTTACATAGTATTAGTTTTAAAAATTGTGATTTTGGTGAGGCCTCATTAATTCACTAGAACAGGGCCACAAAAAGTTAAAATTCGGCCCTGCTTAGACAGATAATAAATACTCACTAAACACAACTTATGCAAAGATGCAATTATAAGAGGATGAGTAAATAAGGGTATGTATACTTGAAAAGAAGTGATAGTGTAAATAGATGAAGTACTGACTTTAACTCTCCAACGTGAGTAAGACTGAGAGGTTAGATAATAAAGGCAATCAATGATAATCTCGAGTAAAGGATTTATCAAGATAAAATAGCTTTTGAAATATAGGTAGAAATCATTTCATATAGATAATCTCACACTCAAGAAAATAACATTTCCTTTAATAATACTACGGGAGGTAACTGAACCGATCTCATGGATCATAACTGTATCAACAAACATATCTGAATCATCATCATAATGGTGGGGAGGTAGGGACTTCACCATACGTGAACGAACTTATCCGGGCACGGTTATACATAACTGGCCTAATCTCAATCTCGCCCAGAAAACATGTATAATGGAATCAGGACCGTACCTTAAGTGTGCACACCCCCTAACTTGGATTCCAAGTTCAGCGAGTAGTATCTAAGCCCTAGCAGCCAAGGGTTTTTCGACCAAGCTACTTCACATTGTCCGGAATTTTTCGACCGGACCAACTTCTTTTTTCTTCCGAGGGAGCAAGGTTCCAACGGGACCTCCAAAATATACATTTCCTCACCCATTTGAAAATACAAATAGTGTAGCCAGAGGCGGACCTGCCATGGGGGCAGCTGCCCCCACTGCCCAAAATTATTCAGCCCCAAAACGACGTCGTTTTGGGGCTGTTATATATATAATTTTTTTTTAATTTCATTTGTTTCATTGCCTGCTGCGATGCGAGAAGAGCTGAAGCCTGAAGCCCGACGCCACCGCAAGTCTCCTCTTCTCTTCCAGTCTTCCGAGTTCCGTCTGACCGTCTCTCCTCTTCTCTTCCGTGAGTTCCGTCTGCTCTCAGCCTCCGTGAGTTCCCTGAGTTCCGACGCCACCACTAGCGCCACCACCCGACGACTCCGCTGCCTCGCAACTCACAAGTCGCAATTGCCAGGTTCAACTCCGATCCCTTCTCAGTTCAATACCCTTTGTTCAAATGTTTAATGCTTCAATTTGTTTGCTTAATTCTCATCTGCTCACTGCCCATGTTCACTTAATTTTGCCCTCATTTGATTTTGCCCTAAATCCTAATTTGCCCTAATTATTGAATTGGTTTTTGAATTGCTAAATCCTAATTGACATCTTAATTTGTTAAATTTGTTAAATCCTAAATTCCTAATCTGTACATGTTTAATTTGTTAAATCATAATTTGCCCTAAATTCTAATTTGGTTTAATATATGTTTGCCCTAAATTAATCCGTTAATGATTAAGCAATAATGTTATAATGATTCTGTAATTATGTAAATATATGTAATATGCTTATTGCTTAATTTAAGACTTTGAACCAATCCATTTGATGGGGCTTCTCATCTAAATAATTTTGGGCATTTTGTTTTTGTTTTTGGCACTTCGAACTATTCCCAAGTGATTTAGTGACACTGTGTTGCCAAT